CAACTAGCCTTCCTCCGCCGCACGTCGGCCGGTCCCGCCGTGCTGAAAGTCGAGGATACGAAGCTGGGACGGCGGACGAGTACGCTGCATGTGATGCTGCTCCAGAAGCCTGATAGCGGCAAGCGGAAGAAATCACAGACGTCTACTACGGAAGGGAAGAAGGGTGAAGATGAAGACGACGAGGACCTCGAAGTCAAGGTGGCAGGATACATTACCGTTAGTCCCGCGGACGCCGAAGAGGGACTTAGTGCTACGACTGGGTGGAAGGTTAGCAGTCCTGTGCCGGCGGCTGGGTCGAAAGGAGATGGGTCGGTGGATTTGGAGACGTTAGGAAGGACAGGGCGCGATGGGGCGTGGGGAAAGCTTATACCGGAGCATTCGGAGTTCCGGAAGGCGACGGGGCAGACGGAGTTCTATGTGCCTGTTGAGCTTAGTGAGGAGGAGAGGAAGCAGAGGAAGATGAATGCGGAGCAGTGGGCGAGGTTCCGGCCTGCGGGGGATGTGAATGCGCGGTGGACTAATGAGGCGCTGGTGTATTTGACGGATATGTTTCCTACGGCGTTGGCTGGGTTTGATGATGCGGCGGAGGAGGCGGCGGTCGGGGGTGGGAAGGGGTTGTTTTGGTTCCCCACGGTCACGTTGAATATTGATCTGAAGAAGAGGTTGCCCGAGGAAGGGGTCGAGTGGTTGTATAGTCGGGTGTATACGAAGAAGGTGCGGGATGGACGCACGGATTTGGATGTCACGGTCGTGGATGATAAGGGGGATGTGGTGGCGTTGAGTACGCAGGTGGGCTTGGTGTTGAGTGCCAGTCGCAATATCGGGTCTCGTGCGAAGTTGTAGATGCTTCGCTTTCTTTCCCCCCTTCCACCCTTTTTTCTGGCTCATCATCATCATCCTCGACCCTGTTCCTTTCTTTCTCTCTGTTTTTCTATCTCCGAACGACTGGCTCTATCTACCGGTCGATGCAATATGTACATATACTATATACACGGGTAATAGAATCTAGATCTATAGAACAAACAGCAAGAAGAAAAAGAAAGACTTAGAGCGACGGTCCCGTCTGCATCCAGAACGCCATCGCATCCGTGGTAAGACGCATTGGTTCTCCCTCCGCCTGGGGAGAGGCAACGGCACCTTCTGTATCCTGCGGCTGGAAGGCCTGCGCGCGCACCCAGAACTTGCGACCCACACGAGCGAGGACCTTAGTCCGAACGACCAGATACCCCGGCGCAGCAACGGGACTCTTGTAGCGGATGTCCAATTGGGCAGTATAGAGCATTCCGCGCGGCGTCGGCGGGACATGCGGACCATCCGGCTGCTCATCCTCTACCAACTTCGGGCCCGTCTCCGGCGCATACAGTGCCACAGCATAGGACATGGCCTCGTCGAGAGACGTAGCCAGGACTCCGCCATGAGCAGTAGACGGATGGCCCGAGACACCGGGGGCAGCAATGTCCAGGATGAGGATCAAATCGGGATCTTCAATTGGAGTCGGGGCACCGGTGGGAGCGGGCCAGATGGGCGGGGAGTTGGGGAGAAGAGAGAGGAGGTGCGGACGTCGACGGAGTGTCAGGACGTGGGGGATAGTGCGGTCGGTGGCTAAGGTGTTGGCGAAGTAGCCATCTTCGCCGGTGGAGGGTTTAGGGATGCGCGAATAGGTGCGGATGGGGAGGTAGTCTGGGTGATGGAGGAGAGATCGGAGAGATGCGGAGGAGGCATTGAGGAAGGGGGATAAGGAGGCGGGGTCGGGGGTGTCGAGAATTGAAGAGGACATATTTACAAGTCGGTAATGTATGAATTGATGTGGAATTAGAGGGATAGGAGGTGGTGTGGTTGTGTGAGGTGTCGAATTGAGATAGATGATATGATGTTTCAGAGTAGAAGAGAGGGATGAGGGGAACGGAAGCAATAGTCTGGATGGAAGGAATGAGTGGAGGAGATCAGCCGAGGGATAACTCGGCGGAATCACATTGTTGCAGCTTTTCCCGCAAGGTACAATACCGTCAATTTACTCAGGTTGGTATGGTTCCTGGTAAAGAACGTCTGTCTCGGACGGTACTGAACCGGTTACTACTGGGATACCGGAAGGACCTTGCCGGATTGGGGTATGACTGTTTTGATATCATGTGCCCAGCCTTGAATTCGGCAAAAGCAAAGCGGAGTAAATCCTATTCATTTTCATTCAGGATCGCTCGCTTCTTTTCTATACAGTAAAACCACCATCTATTTATTCGACTTCATATTTGGCTAAACATATCTCCGTCGCCACGCCCAATTATTTGCTAGTAGTTGTCTGATAATAACTATTAATATCATCCCATCAACACCATTCCCCTGACACACCGGACAAAAATTGACTAGACTGCTTGCTTCCCTTCTGCCGAACTGACTGGCTGGATAAACATTTGGAAACCACCTGAAGCCCGAGCTACGTATGCCATGGACGCCCGTCGCGACTAACGCTCGACTAGTTTTTAGGCTCCAGTTCTGCAGCCACTCATCTGTTGCGCCGGTCACTTTAGCTCACGGCGCTACCGGGGATGAATCGATAACAAAGAGGAGAAATCAGTCCTGCGAGGGCCCCAAGAGGGGACTCACTCACACCGAATATCCCGGATCAACCAGCCGCCAGCATTCTCTCATGCCATTCCATTCAGGAAAAAAAAAGAGGGGGAAAAAATTGAGAAACGGTAGAAGTAAAAAAAAATTGGAGAATTGTTGCACATTCCAGGCAGCGACAAATGGGTAGAAAAATTCTTCAATTCTCCAATTTTCTTTACATTTGCCTTTTTTCTTTTCTACTGGTGTCTCTCTTGTCTCTGTGGTGAGGACTGAGTATGTCTTGGAGAGGAGTTTGTCTCTCTTGCAGGTGGACCAATGGAAACCAGACAGGGCATCTGCAAGTCTGCGACTTCCTCCTCGAGGGTTAATTAGTATCCCTCGCGTAGGGCAACAAACAAATCGCCGGCCAAATCATGAGTCCGTTGCTGCACCAAAACAAGGAACGGGAAATTGGAGCCAGAAATGAGGGGGAAAGTCTGAGAAACAGTCAGTGATGATTATCGACTCTTTTTCAATTTGCTTTCGAGAATTGAAACACACGACGTATGGATGTTATCTATTAGTCTGAGTATTATTATACTATTGTTTCTTATTATTATAATTATTATGATCAGGACTCCTGCACCGTCTCTCCTCCTGCAGACCCAGTCAGTACTTAGTCGTACTTAGTCCAGCTAGCAGCAGTATCTATCTAGTTCCTTTAGCTATACTACTTTGCTAGTTTAAACGCATCCAATCACTCTCCTCCACTGGTTCTCATTCACGTCCCGGCAGCAAGAATCTTCTGCTCGAATAAAATAAAAGAGACTAAAATAAATAAACAGCCGGAATTCCTGTCTTGTTTTTGCTGCCCCTTCCCGTTTTGTCCTCTTATCGCCGGCTTTCTTCTTTCTTCCCTCCGTCGCTTCCTCTTCTTCGCTTCTCTTCTCTTCTCCTCCTCCATTCTTCTGCTGCCTCTTCTTCTTCTTTCTCCTCCTGGTCTCCCTTCCTCCCTTCTCCTCTTCCATTCCATCCATCCATTGATTGTCTGCCTCTTTTATCTCATTGCCAGACTATCCAATCCCAGATAAACATCTCATACCTCACCCAACAATCTATCTTACTTTCTGCATTTCCAGCTCAGCTCTACCGACAGTAGCTCTTTCGCCATGCTTCCTCTCGTCTTGATGTCTCTGGCTGTCGCGGCCACCGCGTCCAGCAACTACACTCTTCCCAGCGACTTCAACATCAGCGCCATCAGCTTGTCGGAGCGGAGTAAGACACTTCTGGTGGATGAATGACCAGCACTCATTTACTGACTACTGCCATCTAGACTCCTGGTGCACTGCTGAGCGCAACTCTTGCCCTGAAATCTGCGGAGGTGTTGCTACGAGCAACTCGTGTGATCCGGTAGGTGGCACCAGCACTCTCGGCGCTTTTGTACCCTTGCACCCGCTAACCGGTTTGGCAGAGCACCCTGGACTTTTCTTGCGTCTGCTCCAATGGCTCCACTGCCGATGTCGCGGAGTACACTCAGACCATCCCCTTCTTTGTCTGCGAGGCCACCTACGCTCAGTGCATTGAGGACTCGCCCTCTCTCGATGAGCAGGAACAGTGCCAGGAGACGCGCGACAAGGACTGTGGCACGTTGAATGCGTCGGCCTCGAGCACTACCTCTTCGACCACCACGACGGCCGCCTCTTTGACCACGTCCACCGGCTCGTCCAGCAGCACTGGTTCTGGTAGCAGTGGATCGAGCGCCTCTACCACCAGCAGCAGCAGCTCGTCTTCGACCACTGCCAACGCGGCGATGCGTCTGGCTCAGGAGCACGCTACGGGCCTGTTGGCGACCGTGCTGTTCGTTGGTTTGCGCCTGATTCTGTAAATGATCAGTCTTGGGTGAGAGGAAAATGGGGAGTACTGTTATTGCTGGATGTAATAATCACATTGGGGTCGCAATTGGCCGTGTTGTAATGAGAAGGGGGAAGATGTTGTAATGATGGCCGGGGAACAGAAGGAGGGTTCCAGTTGCAGTTGCATGTTCTACGACTTGATGGTTCTTTTTATTTTATTCTCGTACGATTCCCCCAAGCGCGCCTGGGAGTTATTCTTGTAATAATTGCAGATTGAGTACTGAGTTGACTAGTATGAAATGAAACCAGAAAAAAAAAAGTTGTGATTGTTGTTTAAGACTTCTGAAGTAATGGAACAATAATAGTACTCCGTAGTAAATGTCGAGACGATCTCCCGATGCAGCGGCGCCAAGAGTTTTTCCCACACTGAATTTTCTCCACCGCCCAAATCCCTTCCACAGAGTCAGTCTCGCAACACCAAGTCGATTCGATCAATCCCCAAAGCCTCTTCTCGCTTCTTTCCCTCTTTCCCTTCCCTCTTCCTTTGATTTCTTTCCCTCCCTTTTCCCCCCTCACCCTTTTCTCACCACCTCCCATCCCATCATGCCCGCCCCCTCCACCACCCTCCTCATCGAGGGTTCCTTCACCGAGCTCGCCGACGAGTTCGCCCAGTACATCGACGCCCTGCGCAAGTCTGAGGCCTCCAGCAGCCTCCAGTCCGAGATCTCCCCGCTTCTGCAGCCCCTTCGTGAGCAGGAACAGTCCGAAGCAGAGCCCGACCGCAAGCAGCGCGATGAGGTCCTCAAGAAGTTGGTCTCCGCGGCCGTTGTCCTGAACAGCGCCCCCGAGAAGGGTACGTATTATCGATAGAACACCCCTCTATACACGAGACGTGGATCTAGAGACTGACGGACGGACGAATAATTTATATTATACAGAGATCATCTCCGCCTACAACCTTCTTGTCCACCTTGTTCACCAGGCCTCCGACCCGGATATGTTCCTGTCCCGCATCTGTACCTACCTCGCCAAACCCATCTCTTCCTCCCCTCAGTTCGGCCCCTCCTTGGCCATCTCCATCCTGTCCACCATCTTCAACACTCTTGCTCCTTCCGACTCCAGCCGCTACCACGTTCTCCTGGCTACCGTCGCCGTCATCCGTCAGTCCAGCTCGTCTATTGCCTTTGACGCCCTCAAGTCCCAGCTGGTCGCTCAGCTGCCCAGCTGGCTCGCCGCCTGGGAGCTGGACGCCGACGAGGCCCAGCGCCTGCACCTCGCCATTGCCGATGCCGCCCAGGCCTCTGGTGACCCCGAGTTGGCTCAGACCCATGTCGTCCAGGCCCTGCAGACCATCCCTGCCGCCAACGCCAGCGCCCCCGAGGCCCGCGATCTCGCTGTCCGCGCCCTGACCTCCGCTCTCACCCACCCGGCTGTCTTCGACTTCACCCCCCTGACTGCCTCCGACGCCGTCCAGGCCCTCCGGTCCAGCGACAGCACCCTCTTTGAGCTGCTCGAGATCTTCACCGCCGACACCCTCGACGCCTACGAGGCCTTTATCTCCGCTACTCCCCTGGCCAGCATCTCCGGCGGCGTTCTGGCTGAGTCCGGCGAGGCCCTGCAGAACAAGATGCGCCTGCTCACTCTGGCCTCCCTGGCTGCTTCCACCCCGTCCCGCTCCCTCCCCTACGCCACGATCGCTACGGCTCTCCGCGTGGAGCCCACCGACGTCGAGAAGTGGGTTATTGACACCATCCGTGCTGGCCTCGTCGAGGGTAAGCTGTCTCAGCTGCGCTCCGAGTTCCTGGTCCACCGGGCCACCTACCGTGTCTTTGGCGAGAAGCAGTGGGCCGAGGTGCAGGGTCGCCTGATGGTCTGGCGCCGCAGCCTGGAAAACGTGCTGGGTGTTGTTCGCAGCGAGCGGGAGCGGTTTGTTCGCGAGGGGCTGCAGGCGGCCCAGGCTGCCGAGGAGGCTGCCCAGGGCAAGGGTAACGACAAGAAGGGTGGTGACCGTCGCCGTCACAACAACAACAACAACCAGCAGCAACAGCAACAGCAGCAGCAGCAGCAAGCACCTGCGGCACCCGCCGCTGCCCCGGAGGCCGTTGCCGTGGAGTAAAGGACTGATGACCGTTTGGTTGAATGATTGATTGATACACAGAGAAGCATACACATTGGGATGAATGAATAAAAAGTTTTCTGTGTGTTGTTGTGAGTTGTGGGCTTGGAAGGTGTTCTTTCTATGTTAATGTTCTGCTGTGTCTACACTTTTTTTTATCCCCATTTTCCCTTTATTTCCATCTCACGGGCTCAATTTTCCTTTTATTTCTCTTTTTTATTTTATCATGGTAGCTATTGGATTCTAGACAGGTTTATATCCACATTTCATCATGAGAAGGTGGGGGGAAAGCCTGACTGACAATGATACGAGTTATGCCGAGTGTGTAACTGAGTTTTTATGTATATTCCCAAGTACTTACTACTTTATACATACATAGACCGATTTGGGGTGTTGCAGCAAGGGTAAATTACTCAAGATATAAGCATATATATATATATTTACTACTAGGATCATGATGTAGTTGAATGTACTACTCATCAATGTGGCTCTCACGTATCTACCTACCATCTATCCATCTATGTACCACCCAACCATACACATATAATATAATATTTTCAGAAACCCAAAAAAACCAACCTTACAAAGGATTAATGCCCTTACTCTTGAATCCCTCGCGAATGCGCTCATACACCTCATCGACCGATCCCGTCGCCGTCACCGAAACCACCTTATCTTGCTCCTCGAACGCCTTGACAACAGGCATGCTAGTCTCGACGAACGTACGGAACCTCTTCCGGATACTCTCCGCATTATCATCATCTCTACCGGAGGTCTCTCCACGCTTCAACAACCTCGTCTCCATGACCTCCTCAGGACAATCCAAGAACAGGGTCATCTCCGACGGACACACCGTATCCTCGAAGAACACGGCCTGGTCGAGCTTGCGGGGGAATCCATCAATGAGGAAGCGGGGCTTGGGGCCACCCTCTTGCTGTTGTTTCTTGCCGGAGGCCAGGGCGTCGGCCATGGCGTTGGACAGCAATGCGACGGTGATTTCCATGGGCACGATCTTGCCCTCGCGGATGTAGGTCTTGATGAGGTCGCCGTATTGGCTGCCTTCACGGACTTGTTCGGCGCGCAGGAGGTCGCCGGCGCTCAGGTGGGTGAAACCGTAGTCGCGGACTAGGTTGCTGGATTGTGTGCCTTTGCCGCTGCCGGGGCCACCGAGGATGAAGACCACGGTGATGTCGGTGGGGGAGAAGCGGGGTTGGGTGGTCATTTTGGTGGTGGTGGTGGTGGTGATGGTTGGTTTTGTGGGATCGGATTCTGGGGAGGAAGGGAGGTGAGGTGGTTAGCTTAGGTGCTTGTTTGTTGGTCGGTTGGTTGGTAGGTAAATAGGTAGGGGAAGTTGTTATTGTTGGAGGGGAGAAGAGGGGTGGTGGTGGGCAGTGGTGTGGGTTCAAGGTACAGAGAAGAGGGACATACAGTTGGAACCGGGCTTGGGTTTATGCACGCCGGTGCGGGATTTCACGAGTAAGACGTAGGAACCGGTGCCCACAGCGAAGAGGGCAACAAAGGGGAGGACTTTGAAGTTGGAGCGGCTGTATTGGGTAGGGTTGTTGGAGGATTGAGGAGAGGAGGAAGAGGAAGAAGAGAGGGAAGAAGAGGACGAATAGGGGCGATGGAGAGACAGTCGGAGATGTCGGTGGGGGGCCACCACGGGCGGCAGTGTAGCTCCTCGCTGTAGTAGTAACTTGATAGACATTGGAAGAGATGGAATGGGATGGGATGAGGAGAAAGTATTAGGGGGAACTGAAGGGGAATTGATGACAATACAGATTGAGCTACTATACTGCAAGACTTGCAAAAGAAGTAACGCAGAAGAGGACAAACCCAGATGAAGGAGAGGAAAAAGAAAAGCAGGAAAAGGAAAGTTGAAGTTCATCTCGTGTTCGCTGCTTTGGGACTAGCGCGGATGGCCTGATCTATACAATCTGAGAGTGGTGTTACTTACTTCCACTTGTATAGCTTCATCTTCTTCCTCTCTCTCATTTACTCTACATACAGTTATTTGAATGATCTGATTCATTGCACTGTGATATCTAATAAAGGTCATGGACAGGTAGGATACTATACGTTCACCTCTTGACAGCTCTTCTTGCCAACATTCATCACTTCAATACACCCATCTACAGCATCTCATCAAGTGAACGATCTCTCGCTGCCACTCGTCCTTGATTTAGTGAACAACTGCTCGCTGCCACCACCTGTATCGCATCATTCTTGCACGTATTCCAACCATATCTCTTTGTCTTCTGGCTGTCTCATTCACCCCAACCTTCTCGGCATCTCATAGCTTCTCCTCCCTGCTCATGCGGTCTCCCACCAGCAAGATGCTCCACCCTCACCCCCCAGCTCCGAGAAATAACCGTGCATATGCAAGAGCGCCTAGAGCACCTAGAGCACCCAGAGGTCACTTTCAAGCAGCTCTGCATACACAGTCTCTTGTACAATCTCAGCCTTTCTCCCGAGGTCAACAGCACCATCATTCGAACGTGAGTGATCTCTCCCAACATGCAATGCACACACTAACACACCCAGTCCCGCGGAGGACAATCACATATCTATCAAAGTCAGAGAGGTCGTTCTAGAGGACAAATGTATACAGCCAACTTTCAGCCATCATGGGGAGCACACAACAGTAACGGAGCTCCCGGCCGTAGTCGTTCCAACTACAGAGGCCGCAGAACCAGGAAGAGATTTCCAGCCAATACTAGAACCCAGAATTCTAGACATCTTACTACAATGTCTACAGCTCCATATTTCAATATCAAACGTCAATCTTCCGGTTCGACTGAAGGGGAAGCAGTAGCGCAGATACCCTCGCCATTCCAACGGCTCCCACCGGAAATTCGAGACCAAATCTATGACCATATATTTGAACCTCACCGTGTCGAGCTCATACGAAGAAGCGAGAAAGATCCGACTAAGCACCCAAAGAGAGTGTACTATCGCCTCTACCACAACCCCCTTCGATCGCGCGATCCCGTCACGCAGCAAATTCAGGACCCCTGTCGGAAAAGTCAACTCCCTGTGCCCATAGCACTGGTTTTTACATGTCGCAGTATCTATTGCGACACCCTTTGGTGGCTGTACTCCACTACCCAATTTGTCTTCACTTCGACGAGGACTATGAACCGCTTCTTCAACACCATCCCCTCGGAAGTACAGCCTGCAATTCGACATGTCGAGATCAACCAGGAAATGCACAGTGAACCAAGTTTAACCGAGCATCGTATCCACAAGGTCCGAAGTGACTGGGCTTTCACAATGGCATGTGAGAACTTGGTGAGGTGCTGTTCAGGACTGCAAGTCTTGTACATTTACTTTCGCATCCGTGACTGGCCCATGAGCCTCGAGATCGGCGAAACATGGTCATTGCCAATGATGGCCTTTGCCGAATACAAAGCTAAAGGTGGTTTGGACGTCGTGACGATCAATCTCGATATGCCGAGGTTTGGGGTCCAGAAGTTGAAGATTATGGCCAAAACCTTGGAAAAACGATTCATGAAGCCCAAGGCATTTCAGATCAGGGAGGATGAGCGATTGGCTAGAGAGTTGACTTGCTCTTTCATGGAATTGCGGGTAGAGGGAAATGACTGATATTTCTCTTTCGCCAATGTCCTCGTCAGTTTGATAGAGAAGATGAAGCTTAATCTGGTGTGTTCGAAGGGTGGGAGAGGATTGATCGGAGTGATATTCTTTCCTTCTTTTTCTTTCCTTCCTTCTTTACTTCCTCTTTCTTTTTCGAGTTACTCGTTTATGGTTTCACGAGATAACCCCAATTTGTTTCTATGATACGTCTCTTTTCCCAATACCCTAGCAGAAAATCAAAACTGGAAAGTCACCACTCTGTTGAGTTAAATCAAAGTGCACTGGCTGTCTATTTATGCAAGTCCGATTAAATGTAGTCAATATGTACGTCAGTCGTCAAGGGGGGAATATACGGTACAAAAATGGTGGGAGTCTAGACATGCATGAACGCCCGCGATATGCAAAAGATAATGACCCGTCTTTCCTTCCTTTCTTTTTCCTTCCTTAATGCCCTTCAAACAAGCGAGCAAACCCCCCAAGTCTTGCTCGCACCCATATCATCTTCTATTCACAGCGTGCTTCCCTCTCTTTTTCGGGTTTACTCCCTCGACCTGTCAACTTCCGTCAAGGACTGGCCCTCTTCGGACGGAACCTCGTGGTATGCCTGCATACGACGACGACGAAGGAACCAATAACCGCCCGCCAGGACCCCGCCCACGGAGCAGATGACCAGAACAGAGATCAGCAAGCCACCGACTCCGTGGATAACCTCGTACGCCTTATCCACGGCCATGGCTGCTTGCTTGGCTGCTTCCTTAGCCTCGGCATTGGGGTCCACCTCTTCCACATCTTCTTCCACCTCGGCCTGCTTGGGGCCGTAAAGAATGGTCGGATCATCGGCGGTAGGCTTCGTGTCACCCTGGAAGCCGGCCAGGCGCCAGTTCTGTGGGGTCTCGGTGCGGTGGATGGGAGAGGAGCCGATGACGTTGCCGTCCTTGTCGACGGCCTCGACGGAGATCCAGTCGAGATAGCCGTCTGCGATGTACATGGTCTCGAAGTCGAACTTGGTCGTGTTGCCGATCAAGACGGGGATGCCGTGGCGGTCGGCTCGCGCGTAGAAGTTCCAGGTGGCGATGTCGGTGGCACCGTTCCAGCTGACATGGAAGATCGTTGCCAGGTCGGTCTCATCGGTACCGTAGACGGAGGCGATCACGTCCGGGGGAGTGTTAGGGCGGCCGACGAAAGGAAATTTGTACGACCGGTAGGTCGAGAAGCGGGTGGATGCGAAACGGCCTTGCATGAGGACCTTGCCGTCGGGCGAATGCTCGCTCTGCATGCCTTGTTCACTCCAGCCCACGAAGATGTTTCCGTTCGGCAGGGTCTGAACACTACCGCGGAGACGGGTCAGGCCGTTGTCTGGGCGGTTGTAGCGCTTGAGCAGACGCGCGGTCATGGGGGTCGTCGTGGTGTCGATCTGCACGAACATCGCTGCGGATGTGTCCTCCTCGTTTTCGGCCTCATCAGAGGCATTGTTCAGGAAGGAGACAATGGCATGGGTGGCGTTGGACTCGACAAAACGTGCGTGGTGCTGCTTGGAGAAGGTGAAGTCCTGAACGAAGTCGGAGTACTTCCCACCAAGGCGCCATTTGATCTGTCCATCCTCGCCGGAGATCAGGTAGAGGGTGCTCGTGAATCGCGCAGACAAGAGGTAGTCTCCTGTCGTACTCTTATCAATGGAGTTCACGTGGACATAATCCCAGCCGGGTTGGGAAGCCGGCGGCGAGCGAGAATCGACTTTCACGGACTCGTGAATAGGGATGTAGCCGAGAGAAGACCATTCGTAGAGGACTTCGCCGGTAGCGGTGTCCAGCTCGACGAAGCCACCGGCGACAACCCAGCCGTATTCGTTGGGACGACCGAGGTCTCCCAGGTCGACATATTCGTTGCGATATGCGCAAGCCAAAGCAGTCTTTCCACCAGGAAGGACATTGAACTCGTGCATGTTAAATGCTGAGAGATCGTTGGTCACCGGCACAGCCGTTTCGACCTCATAGTTTTGGTCGAGTACGTATCCGTATCCTTTGTCTCTACCACCATCTTGATAGCCATGCTGAAGGATGAAGGACAGGTGAGGTTTGTCGTCGATATTGTTGACGGCTTTGAAATCGAAAATGTTGCGGTTGTCGAACATGCAAGATCCGGCCCAAACCAGAGTCTACGTATGGCCGGTTAGTAAGCTACTTACTCCTTTCGGGGACCTCACTCATTTTTGAGAGATATCCCTTGCCTCACGAAAGGGGGAAATGAATTTCTGGGATAAGGAATGAGGAAACGTACGCCATCTGCATCATAGATGTAGGGTCCAACTTGGCAAGGCTTCCATTGCTTCGTGGGAGCTTCTGGGTCAATCACGCCATATGGCGCAACGAACCAGTAGCCTGGGCTAACCGATTCGCGATCGTAGTATGCAACATTAAACTTCAATGCTCTCACTTCCGGAAGCTGGCTGCTCATCAGCAAAAAGATCATTTATATATAAGTACGTTGGAAATTCTCCTACCGTCACAAAGGACATCAAATCATCGTCCGCCTCCGCCTCCGCGACAATCCCGCGAAAAGAAAGAAACAACAGAACCCAGAAGAACAACATTTTTGAAGGAGTGGCTAGGAGAGGAAGAGTTCCTCCCCCAAGAAAAAAAATTGTGACGATTAGCTAGGGAAAAGGGCAACGATTAGCGGAAAGGAAGGAAGGAGGACAGCGGGAGACGACCGGGTCATTAAGACAGACGGTCGCTGTCTGTCAAGCAGCCAAGTGGACGTCGGTCGAGGGTATCTATCCGAAAGATCTTCTCCCTGGCGCGCAGGGAACAGTAGTCAAGTATGGAGGTGCCCCCTGCAAGCACACCCCATCCACGACACCGTCGAAACGGAATCCCATGAGCCAGCACAAATCGGGGAGGCTAAGACTCCGCAAAGCATTACGGAATCTCCATAATTTGGGTCGGGCACGGCCAGTGACAACGTAAGTGCTGATACGGCCGCTGACGATCAGACGAGGCGGACACTCTTGGCAGCGTTTCGGACAGTGGAGCTGCGGGCCACGCTGCGAACTTCATCAGCGCAGGAGACGCTCTGATTGCTGGATAAGGTGCAGCCGGAAGTCGCCCAGATTCGTGGACGGGTCATCCCATTATCCCACTGGGTGGCCACGCCAAATGAAGCGACTTGACCCGGCAATTCTACGCTGGAGGTGTGAATATATCGAATCCTCTGAACCGCCACCCCCAAACCCTCTTGTTCCCTCCCTATACGTGGAAGGGAGGGAGGGGATGCTGCGTTATGTGAGTATGTATGTGAGCAGCAGCGCCACTAAGTCCGAGTTGGTTCGGACCTCGGGCATGAAACATTAAACTCTTTTCCACCCCGAGTTTACCCCTTCCGGAGATCTAGACCGACTCAGTTACGAGTGTGTGGCTGAAATGGACTATTGGGAGACCCATGGCTATGGCCGGTTGTCTGATTCTACCCGCAAAATCAGTTGTCAATTGGTGACGGTCCACGTACTCCCAGTTTCTTCCCACGGACTTGGCGCACTAAGCGAAATTGGCCGTCTAAGACTTACTTTTCTGGAAAGAGTTCTATGGTGAGTCTCCAAGCCGGTTACCCGCAACCACGAGCGAACCGTGCCGCCTGGGGAGAAAATTCCTGGCGGATTGGCGAATGAGAGGATCCATGGCATGCCGGTGTCGGTGTCATTTGCCAGTTCAGAGTTCTCAGGCCCATGGACGCCTGAGATGGACGCCTCAGGCTAACCGCCGACTCCATCCAGGAGAAGCGATCGGCAGTCCATAGATATAGGCTCTCTTTTCCATCGTCCCAGACAGATTATCTTAGTGATTATCATGGATACGCTTGCTTTGATCAGCGGGTCTTCTCCATTAGCACCGGTGGTGGTAAGCTGAGTTTTGCTCCGTAGCTTGGGCGATCTGGTATGATGGTATGCGTGGTGCAAGGGGGGAAGAAGGAAGGATCTGGATAAAAAATGAGTCTCTTTTTTTTTTCTTTCCCGATCTCAGATGGACCCCTGGAATCGGATTCAGTGGTATTTTGAGAAGTCACGGTGCACAAATTCCGGGGTAGCCCAACAAGCTATGGAGTAAGTATGGCGAAAGATAAGAGTCGCTTGAATTGGCGAGGTGAGGGAGGTGTGCAATTGAAAATGGACTGGCGTGACCACCTGACAAGCCACGTGATGGGTATACAATCCTTGAATTGGCTTTCGTCCAGCCATCCATATTATCTTGCCTGCGATCAACTCCTGTTCGTTGCACGATCTAGGACCTGCAACGTATCGATTTACCAAACTATGGCAAATGGGTTTTGGTCTGCGACCATGACTTCTCAGCACTGGAGTAGAAAATGCGGAAAATTCCTATTCCCTGTTTCCTGCCTGGGTCAGGCGGTTTCGGTTGTGTGTGGACTACTACGTATACACTGAACGACAGTCCCGCCAATTCCGTTGCGGTGGGTTGATCTCTGCCAATACAGTTCGGGTGAGGGAGAGGGAGACGATGACGGTTGCCACTCAGTTCTTCCGGCTGGGACTGATCCACTCGTTGAAGACTTCCGTGAAACGAATGCATTAGCCTATAAGGTCAAGCTCATCTCGAGCCACAGGAATCCCTTTCTGGGAAGTGATCGTTGGCCTGCGCAGAGAGTGCTTGGCTGTAGCCAAGTATAAACCTAAATACAGATGTGTACGTATGGCGTGCAGTGACCACCTATATGCCTACAACTTCTCTCATCCTTCATGTCCGGTATTTCACCCCTACTCCGGGCGCTGAAGCGGCATAGCCTATGATATCGGGTTCCGCGAACGTTTTCGGCCTATACCTCAGGGTTTCCGACAGAGCTACTAGTAAAAGTCCTTCTGTGCCTAGCAAGTCGTCCAGACCGAGCTGTGGGGGAATTGATTGCTGACACACGGTGGTGACGTTGACTCGCGAAGGGTTACCGGGCCCATCATGAGTTAGCGCGTCGATGGTAAGCGCCCATGCAAGTGGGTTGTATAGCACTCCTTTATGCGTGTACAATCCTCCTGCGGGCTTGTGGGCGCAAATAGACTGTAAGTGATTATTGGACACGCCAACTCCATGTGCATCCTGGATGATGGCGGATGCTTGGTCGCCATCCATCGGCTGCACGACTTCGTCAAAGGAAGAGTAGATGGTTGTTGTGTGAACATACGCCGACTCACCCCCGAGTGCCCTCAGGGTGCGAACGAACTTAGCGTCCCACCTCTGCTGCCACAGTGCGGGGGTGCACATTATCCCCGCAAGCCAGGGACACACCAGCCTGGCCTCAACAGTCCCTCGGAAATCAGGGCTTATTGCAATGAAATCCTCCACTGAGCCCCGGGTGGATGGCCAATATTTGAGGGCCCACTGTGTGTTCAACCCGCCCTGGGACCAAGAGATGATGTTAACCTTGGACTGGTAGAGATTGGATATGTAGTTAATGGAATATGCGATGTATTCAGCGGTAACCTGGACATCTCCCAGAGAGGCTTGGGGGATATTGACCCAAGCTACGTCAACTTCCGGGATAGCGTTGCCCAACTTTCCGAAATTATAATAAAACGATGTTCCAGCAGGTGCGGCCGTTCCTGGAACCAAGAGCACTGGTCTCCTTCCACTGTTGTTCTCCCATGAGAAGACAGATGGCATATGGATAGCCTCTCTAAGAGCTGCTTCTGGAATGGAATACGGTGCATCCTCGGTTGCTTTAGACGGGTATATACTCCCGCTTTTGAGGTCGGGGTTTAGGTTATGAGCCGAGTTAATTTTGGCGTTTAGATAACCATTCAAGACAGTGAGAATCTTGGGAGGAACTAGGCCGGAGGCTACTATGTCTTTTGCAAAATCCAGCATTGTCGAGCTGCTCTTCTTGGTGAATATTACCTCGATCTTTTTCAGTGCCAGTTGCACCTGCTCATCCCCAGATTGTTGCAAAACCTCGTTTGTCGCAAGACCTGATTTGATGCCTGCAGCCACAGACGATACCCTCTGATTCACCAGGGGATCTTTGGCTGCATTCGACAAAATTGAGACAAGATCATGTTCCGAATTTGGCACAGGCGCCTGTTGTTGGGGGATTGAGATGCAGAGGCATACAGGGCTCAAGAGTACCCCGTAAAGGAGATGTCTAGCTAGGGCAGACAGCCGCATGTTATGCAGTTTCAGTGATGCACGATAGAGATTCGAGAGGTGCACCCGCGATGAATGCGCTTACCGGGCAGAGAGAAACTGCTGACGGATATAGCCAGAACAAGTGTGCCTCGTATCTGACACCAGGAAGTGTTCCGATTCTTCTTGACAGGCCTCGGTCTCATATGCTGATTTACTCCTTCCTCATTGATTTGCGGTCTTGACCTGGAGAGAGCCAAGATCCAGTCGCAGTCTAGACATCAGAATCGCAAACCCATGGTTACCGGACAATGGAGCGATTGGATGCGTCTTGCTGAGAAGAGTTGCATTATCACTCAAGGGTCAGCATTCTGTCTGACCTTCAAATGGTGGGTCTCCCACTCCGCGGGCCACCCGTGAAATATCGGGAAATCAAGACAACTTTTATGCTTTGCCACCAACTCCGAGCTTGCGCGAGTCATCATGAATTGATAGAAGAGGTATGGCGTATGAAGCTCATCAGCAGGTATCTGTCATACAATTGGTCCAAAGCACAGCGTCTGCAGCGGTTCACTTGATCTCCCTGTCGCCACTCTATTTCCAGTCGGAGGAAATCAGTGACGGGCAACGGGAACGTGAAGATGATGGTCAAATGACCATGTTTGCGACGTATGAACAGCTCAGTGGCTTCTTGGACCGGTACTTTAGGTAGTGGCTGGCTGATGCTGATGTGCCATTGCTCCAGGGCCTTTAAAAAGATCAAGCTTGGAGGAAGCAGGTAGTTGAGAAAGGATAGAAAAAGCTATTTAGATCCCAACCGGCGCCAATGTTCCCCGGATATACTATCGCTACAGGGAACCCAAAGCACTGTAACAGCACCCCAGGCTCGAGTCATCTGCATTGCAGTGCAGTCCGGGGAAGACCACAAGTGCAACCGCCACAAAGCCAACAACACCCAGCTGTCATCTCTCCAGTTTTTTCCAAGAGGTTTTTCATCCATTGGTGATTGGTTGTATTCTGAATGGCTTCCTTATTTCACAAACCCCTTAGACCTCGGTGGCTCCGCCCCGACAGCATCATCCCACTTCATTCCGTCTTATCCAAAGTCTTCGGATTATGTGCTACACGATGCCCATGCTGATCGTGAAAGATGACCTTGAGAAGGGGAGAAAAGGACCGTCAGCCGCATGTGCTCAATGCCTCGAGTCTGGTCTGCGGGGACTTGCTTACTTTGGGTGGATTGGCTACCTCTTCTTCATGTGCTTCAGCCTCGTCCGTAACGACCTTGTCAACCTGGGTTGGGTCAGTTAGCCGTGTGCTAAGACTAATTACTGATTTGCGAAGCTAACATAAGCCGTTCAACAACGACAATGGCACCGAGATGGGGAACGGTAGGCTTACTTCTCCCTCGTGGGTTCCTCCACGATACCTTGTATACACGTAATCTCCTTCGTTGATCTGTTCTCCCGTCTTGTCTTGGACTCTTCTCGTCGGCATGATGCGAGTGTGATTTCAATTTCTTATAGCAATATGTAGATTACTGAGTGAGTTACTCGAGAAAACCAATGCAACGACCAAAAGAGAAAAGCGTAAGACTGAGTAGAGTACATGATGGACTGTTAGTATGCACACTTATTTCGCACTGGGGGTGATGTCATGATGAGGCAGCAACGAACGCCTCCCGCTAGAGCCTGAAACTATACTCAAAAAACCATACAAGTATCAAGTGTCATTCTACACATGGCCGCTGTCAACCTCTCATCTGAATGTCGGTACTATTCCCAATCCCCGAGCACAGGTTTAATCTGGGGAATTGGCTTCGGTACGGTCCTATACCACGACTATTGAGACCACCCTTGTCAAGTATAACCTATATACTCACCATGGAGAATTTCTTCGTGCCATTATCCCTCTACTTATAATATGAATATGATGGGCGCATGGATACTAGTCAAGGCTCGACTGGATACTATTCACAACTAATGTAGAGTGCAAGTACACCGCACAGCAATTTTATAGAAATATATACCTAGTACTGATGGTGCCCCTATGACAGAAATATGATGAGATTACAGTTTACTGGACGACTACCATTGAAAATGAAGCCATCACAAACACATGGATCAAAGAGAAAATGGGGATAGGAACCACGTCACTACCAGCAGTTCTCCTAAAACCCCCCATGTTCCCCCCTCTCCCAACAGAAAAATAGAAAGTAAGCGCGGATACCGAGCCATTGTCACACAGTGGCAGTGATGCATGATGGGGAGTGGATGATGGTGGTAGTGCAAGGCCAAAAAGTTGGGTGGACCAAGTACTAAGTTGAGCACGACAGTCTCATTGAACGTATAATTTAAGTCCGACATGGTGGTGAGTAGTATTATATTGATGATAGTCATAATGATGATGGTGGTGAGTGGTGTCGCCATCTCTTGCTGGTCTTACAATGTTGCAGCAGTCAGTGGTGTTCCCCTCTCGGATGACCCGGACTACTTGGACTTGGCTCATTCGATACGAGGTCATGGAAAATATGTACCCGACCCGCGTTATCTTTAGTGAGAGAGTAGATCACGTTGCCGGGGCTTGGGTTGCATGACTACTCACTGTAGATGGGTAGATGGTGCTAGGATTGTGGGTCCTGGGGCAGAGGATACTGTCGACACGGTATCAGATGGTTCATCATTGTAGCTCTGTCTTGCTAGCAAGGTATCTTCGCTTGAGAGCAAATAGTAGTGACGTGGGCTGAGGGAGAGTGTGATTTCCTCTTAGTAGGTGTTATAGTGACTTTGGCGTCATTTGTATAGGAGATGATGATGACCATGATGTTACGACCTGCCGGGGCAGGACTTGTGGTCGTCGAGGTTCTCCCGTAAGCAAAGCTCGCATCGTTAGATTCAAGGTCTGGTGTTCTGGTGGGCCACGTAGGTACACAGACACACGGGTTAAATTTATGGCGTTCATGGCATGGCTGAGGTGTCCTGCATGCTCCGTGAAGATATAGGGGTGATGGATGGTTGGGAAGTCATGAGAACCACGTGGGCAGAGAGTGTCTTGGCCCATATCAGCAGCACCTTTCCTCTGGCTGCTATGTGGGAGTGAAACTGAAAGGTGCCCGACTCATCGTATACAACTAGTAGTTGGTATATGCTATGTTTAGATAAAATTTAAAGATTGGACACTGCTGCCGAGTCATGACTGATTGCATCAGGGCAGCACAGCACCCCGACATCTATCAGAATGGAAATTTAGCGGGGATAGCGCCCCTTGCAGGATCAAAATCTCCTGGGTATCTTGACAGGCATTTGGTCCCTTGCACCAACCTTGGCCTGTCTGAGTGGTAGCGAGGGGACCCTGAAACGCAGAGTTAGTACTACTAGACAACAGATCGGGCTAGTAGCGAGTTGGTCTAAATTGTCCTTGCCGATAGAGATCGATCACTCCTGAAGTGCGGAGATGGATGATACTGTTGCTGATTGTTATTCTTAGTGTGGTTATCGATGATTACCTTACTGACTTTGTGCGTCTCAGCACATGTCCCGTTCCTTGGCGGAATTTCAGGAATGCGCAGTCTCTCTCACTGAGGTGGAAATGTAGTACCCCTACTTAGAGGTATTTAGAATTGATATGGTGTTATGATGATTAAAATTAATTCGGCCAAGCACTTCTATGGCAAGTAAAACACCCGGATGAAGTAACCGATCAGATACCAGGTGAGTGTATTTAGTACTAAGCTTGAATAAGTACTTAGTAGCAAGTAAGTACTGTGTAGTGAGTACTTAGTGAGTACTAAAGTAACTTGCCGAGGGAGAGACGATGATTGGTGGGGAGAAGGATGGGTAAAATGTAACACTCCCGGCCATTGGGAGCGGGCCCACTACCACCGTTGCACCCAGTCGCTCCTCGACCAAACGAAGGTGTCACATTCCAGTTCCCTCTGGCTGCATCAAAAGTCCATCATGGGGGGATTCTGGGAAAGGATAAGGGAATGCCAGGGAGGCTGCAGTATATCCGATCATCCTCCTTTGAACCCTACTCATCCCGCTCATCCCGTTTGTCTGTGAGGAGTCACAGTATACCTACATACTCGGTTATGTGACTAGCCGGAAGAGATTGAATTTATTTATTTGAATAAAAATGATTTCTCTGCCCGACCAACTGTTGGAGAACCGGTATAAGGATTACCGAAACAATGTCCAAACCGTATCCACAGACGCAGACACACACAGGGTTGATGTACTGAAGACCAAAACCAAGCGGAGGGTCGATGACCTCCCCGATCCATTTTGGATGCAACTCTGTCGCTTCTAAACTTCACCGGGCCCCACTTGGTTCATCTGTTCCCATCACGCCGGGTGGTACTCTTCCCTTAGATCTAATACTGAGTGAGTATAGGGAGACCCTTTCCTCAGCACGGGAAACCATGTCAATGTCATTGATGGGTGTTTCTTGTGTCTCATTGTTTCAGTCACCTATCTTCACTAGTAAGGATAAGCTGACTGCCGTTGAGATCAAACTTCCAGTGAGTTATGCTTATTCTTTATACCCCTGAAGACTGACTACTGAACTACGGAGTATTAAGTTGATGATTAGATCATGCATTCGCCCGATCTCTGCGGATGATTAGATGACTATGATGATGATAACGCAGTTCGATGGCTATTTTGGAACTCCTTCGTTTCTATGCGGTGTTCAAATGATCCTTGAATCTGTCTTCCTCTTAGAAACAGTACCTTCCGAGCATCCGAAGCTAGCCCTGGTCGTTCTAGACCAGGCATGGATCCAGGTCTCACATAAAACCCAATCTTAGTAGTACTGATTACGGAGAGGCCTTTTAGCCGGGATGATGGATCAGATAACTATACCATCTCTCTAAAGTCTAAGTATTACACAATATATTACCACTGCTACTACTAGTATGTAGGCAGTAGTATCTGTTTCATGCACCATCGCATCATCCTTAGGGGTTCATGACGGCAGAGGTTCTCTTTCGGTCGCCATCAATAACTTCCGGGGAAAGTCCGAGTAATTACCAGCCGACAAGGTAGCAATCGATCGATCCTCTCTGAATCAGTACATCAAATTGATTAGGTAACTAATAGTGTCTCGTTCACAATGGATTGATTTCTTCAAGTGAATCTCGAGTCAGTGATTGAATGACGGCATCTGTGTAAGTAATGGAGTCACAGGTAAATACAATACGGAACGAACCAGCTGCCAGGAACCATACCAAACAGACAGAGCAGGGAGGAAGTAGTACCACCCAAAGTAAGTCGCAGTCGCAGTAAGTCAGTAGTAGTCAGTGAGTTACCACCCTGCGACCTGACCGGCAAAACCACTGGAAAGTATGATACCGATGGCCTGCAAATTCATGGATTTCTCTTCTTTTTTTATTAATTTTAATTTTTAATTTTCTAATTTTCATTTTTATTTTCGCCTTCCTACAGTGATGGATGGGATTTCTCTTCATCTTCCCCCCCTTTGAATTGCAGATTCCTCAAGCAAGCCATTCCAGCCTGCGGGAAAGCCAATCCGGACGTTGGTTCCTGACGAGGAATGAAACACGCGTAGGTTGGTTCCCTTTCCTTCATCGTCCCTCTCGTTTCCCGTTTCCTTTTCCCACCAAACCCGGTAGTACCGCTACTACCACTTACCACTAATACTACTACTGCTAGTTACCACTATTACTATTAACTACTACCACCGCTACTCTCCTGCTAAGAATACTTTGCGACTCCCAAAACTACAATACAATCGATACCACTCACGACTACTACCTCTACTTTCCCTTCACTCTTTCTATTCCCTTTTCTCTTCCTCCCCCTCTCCTCTCTTTCCTTCTCTCTCTTTCTCCCCCACCTCCCTTCAATCAAATTCATCTGCTCCATACATCCCCTGGAATTATAACGCTACCATTTCTCGGGCTACACCTCCATCTTTCCTTACGTGCAACTCGATTCAGTTATCTTCCCGCCAGGCACTGGAACGCCCGCTCGTCATCCAACTCCATCCATCCGCTCTCTCCCTGCCAGGTTCATCTACCACCTACTACTACTTACCTCTACTACTACTCCCCTTTGCACAGACAATCCCCGTCTCAACATTGGTTCCCTTTCCGCTGCACCCTGTGCAAGGATCCGTTGTTCGGGTGATCAGAGGTACTTCTTAAAGTCTTGTCCATTTCTCTTGAATTACTTCATTGCCTTGGGATAGAGACTGGTTCTATCCTGCATTTGCATTGCGCATCCTTCCCGCTTCGGTGATTGTCATTCATTCCGGCCGACAAGCCTTGACTTGACTTCTTTATTATCATCTTGAAGTGGCATTTGCTCGTATCGATGCTTCTTTGACCCTCTCCAAGTTTCACTTGCCCGTATGAGCCCTTATCTGTGTTAAACCACCACTACCCGCTCATACAACTACACCCCCTCATCCCTCCTCACCGTCAGCTTGGGATTGGGAAACCCTCTCTGATCGCCTTCCTTCTTACCCAAAACCAACTTCTCCCTCTCTTAATCATGTCGGCCCCATTGGTCAAAGTCTTGCATCGAATGCAAGAACTCTTTACGAACATAGTTGCCGCCTTGGAGGCTATGCTATTGTTCCCTTCCCTCTTCCGCGACCCCTCCCGTAAGCGGCGGAAGCCTTTCCATGGAGCGTATTGGGGACGTCGCTCTCTTGATGCGTTTGCTGATGAGGTGGATCGTCTGTTCACGGCACCTTTGTCTGTGCAGAACATGGTCGCCATGTCAGACAAGATCCGTGCGCAGTTCAAGTCTTGTCTACAATCTAGCCCCGTCTGCATGCTACCTTCTTACAACCATGCCCTGCCCTCCGGAACAGAGACGGGAACGTTCCTCGCACTGGATGTCGGTGGCTCAACGCTCCGGGTAGCATTGGTTGAACTACGTGGGCAGGGAGACATGCGCATCCTTCACGTCTCGTCGTCGTACATTGACGAAGATGTCAAGTTGCTGGAGGGCACTCTCTTCTTTGATTGGATGGCGGAGAAGATCGACTCGATGCTACGCGAAGTGGGCACCAACTATGGACGAGAGGCCGTGCCACTGTCGATGGGATTATCGTGGTCGTTCCCCATTGAACAAACGTCCAACAGTAGTGGTCTCGTTATCCATATGGGCAAAGGATTTCACTGTTCAAATGGCACCGTTGGGCAAGAGCTGGGTGATCTTATCGTTCAGTCTTGTCGGAAGCGAGACCTCAATGTCCAGGTGGATGGGATCGTGAACGACAGCTCCGCGACACTCCTCTCACGCGCCTACATCGAACCCAAGACACGCATGTCGCTTATTCTAGGAACTGGAACTAATGTGGCGATCCACTTTCCAGTTCATGAGATTGGACTGACCAAGTTCGGTACGAGACCGCCAGGTTGGTTTGACTACGCCAAGCACGTTATCGTCAACAGCGAAATGAGCATGTTCGGCGGCAGCATCCTCCCCAAGACTCGCTGGGATGAGGTTTTGAACCGGACACACCTCCGGCCGGACTACCAACCTCTGGAGTATATGATCACTGGGCGTTATCTGGGAGAGATCATCCGTCTCATCATTGTTGAAGCGGTGGAAACTGCCAAGCTCTTCGGCGGGGAGTTGCCTCATTCGATGCGCGATGCGTATTCATTCGACACCAGTATCGTTGCAGCGCTGGAAGCTGATACAACCCCGCTTCTCTCATCGTCTGCGGCGCTTCTACAGAAGGAGCATACATTTACCGTGTCACCGTCTGTCGAGGATTTGCGCTTCCTTCGACGAGTCTGCCAGGTCGTCTCTAAGCGAGCAGCAGGATATCTGGCAACGGCAATTCACAGCATGTGGTGCCTGCGGAATGAGGCAGAGTTTCCCGCGACGGCCCCTCCTTCGATCAAGGAAACTCAAGAGGTGACCGTGATAGAAAGCGAAGAGAATCACCGGAGTCTGTCAATCGCATGCGACGGCAGTGTCATCAACAAATACCCTGGGTTCCGGGACCGTTGCCAGGGTTATTTGAATGACCTTGTAAAGGAGACGAACGCATCGCGGCCATCGTCGGACACCACCACGGAACCTCAGGTGTGCCTGGACCCGGCACCTGAAAGCGCTATACTGGGAGCGGCCGTAGCAGTGGCTGTCGCCGTTGCGGAGAAGAAGCTCGAGTAGACTACGTTATCCAGCATTCCCTTGTCTCCCATCTGAACTCAATACCTATCTCTATATTTGATCCATCAGCCCATCGGCTACATTCGCATTCCGAGGTGTTGTGCGGCAGCTTTGCATTTACTTGGCCACCATTTCGCTCTTGGGGCTCTGGGTGTCGGACATTGTCATTTCCATTTTGTTGTTCTATTGGGGCTCCTCCTAGGCCACCCGATTCATGCATTTGTGCTTCCATAGGAGCATTCATTGCTTTTGCATAGACAGAACAGGTTCATCAATAACGGGGGTGGAGCATTTCTTGACCTTTTGGCGGACTAGACGGTTAGGCATATGGCCTGAGATAGAAGCGGGGATTGTGCGTGTGTACATAATGTTAATCGTCAATACAAGAGTATCGAGCCACTGGGTGCCCTGAGGCCCCAGTGAGGCCGAAGCCGAGGTTTGGGTTTTTGGGTGAATCCCCACATCACAGCGTGCATCCTGCCAAGGCCTTGCCAACGAAGAGGCACAAGACCAAGGAGAATCAATTTAAGCAATGAAAAAGGGACAGACACACTCTCTGGCCCCATGATGGTGAAATCTACATCAACTTGTTACCTTTTCAAGCATCAGTCATATCATCATATTAAGACAAATCACTCCCGACAAAGATCCTGCAACAACTCCAACATTCTCAGTTGAAGCGCCGACAATTCCTCTCGGGAAAGCTGCTGCTGCTGCTGCTGCTGCTGCTTGACCGTCGGGGTAGTAGTTGTTGTTCTTCCCATATTCGAAGGATCAGAGTCCAAAACAAGACCCTTCTTAATTGTGAAAAAGGGAATCCTGAGTGCCTTGAGCTCCGCTATCATAGCATCGGACATTTGTCTGGAGGCTTTGTATACTTTTGCGTCGTAGTTAGTTAATTCGGCGCGGTCTTCTTCGGCTGTCTGTTTCATTCATCATTGAGTATTAGCTGTGTAGGTAGTTTTCCGTTGTGTTTTGTTTGTCTGTGTGTGTGATGTGGATGATCTTGTGCTTCTTCTCTTTCTCTGCATCCATATCCATATAGTATAGTATGGTATGTATGAAATGGCATAGGAAATACATACAGAAACTTGCTTATTCTCATCAACGGGAGCGCCGACGGATCGTCTAATGACCACAATTTCAATAAATGATTAACTCATCTCTTGCCTGACTTCTTTCTCATTGTTGTTGTTCTTTGTAGATCCATGACTGGGGGGTAATTGGAATAGTGTAGACTCACAACACAGCATCCAACTCCTTCTTCTTCTCCGTCCGGGCAGATTGTTTCTTCAAGAGCGCTTCGCGTCCCTGCCACCATTGTTTTTCGTGGTCGTGTTGGCGTTGGATTAGCCAGCGGAGGCGGCGTTGGATTTCTTCGTTTTGGGCTACCGTGCGCATTACGTAGCGGAGAGCTGTTGGCCAGGCGGTTATGGTGGAGGTGTCTTCGGTGATGGGTCCTGTTGGTGCTGGTGCTGGTTGTGGTTGTGGTGCTTGGGAGGGGTGATGATGATGATGATGTTGTTGTTGTGTTTGGTGATGCTGGGGTCGTGAGGAGGTAGGTTTCGGGGGGATAGGGAGCTGGGGGAGGGATTCGGTGGGTTCGTAGGGGTCATTGTCTTCTGTTGGTGGTGCTGGTGTTGTTGAGTCTGGGTTGTGGGAGTAGGGAGGGTATGATTGTGCCTGTAGATGTTGAGGTTGTGAATGAGGTTGCTGCTGGTTGGATAAGGCGGAGAGGGTTCTGAGGACGGAGCTCAAGTCTGCTGCGTTGTAGTCCATAGTGCGATAATCATAGGAGATGTGATGAGAAGTATGATTTCTGTAGCTCGACCATGAAGTTAACTAGAGTGGTGTCAAGGCAAATAGCTGTGTAGATGATAAACTATGGAGTAAATCGGAAGCGGAGTTGTAGTAAGTTAGTGTCCGGCTCGGCCTCGAATCGACGAGGTTGGATTTCTTTCCGCTGAAAATTTCCCCGGCCGGCAATCATTCCCAATTCCTCCTCCTCCAAACTCCGCCTGACCCCCGTTGGCTTCAGCTGCTCTCCCCTCCCCAGCTCGAACAATCCCAATCTCGTGCCTATTGGATTTGACCCTCCGTCGTCCTATCCAATTAACCCCGACTTATTCCCTTGGCGCGCGCAACCCTTCGTCTCTCCCACCCCCCGCCCACCGCCGAATGTACCGTTCCGACTGATTCCATCCCGGTCACATCATACCATATCACCACCACCACTTCTACTACTACCATCCTCGAGCATCCTCACCGACAATCCATCCTCGCCGACTCAATTCAAAAATGTCCCGCTCCGCTGCAGACGCGACCCGATTCACGGCCACCGGGCCCTACGCGCACTCCAAGCCCGGCTCGGCCAGCGCGGCGGCCCCCTACAAGCTCCCTAGCTCGATGGCAAAGCCCACCTCCCAGCAACAGCAACAGCCGCAGTTAAACGCCAATGGCAGACCGGAGTCTCCCAAGGAAAAGGTCGAGCGGTTGAGGGCCCAAGCCCGCGCGGCCCGGTTAGCTCAGTCGACGTCGCGGGTGGATCAGATGATTGAAGTAGGACGTCGATTTGCGAACAAGGCGCATAAGACGATGGTGTACACTCTGATTGCTGCATCTGGTATGTTTTATCATCTACCATGATATAAGTGGACTACACATATGTGTTGGTCGCCGCGAGGGTTATAGAATCATTGACTGACGCGTTTCGGGAATGAAAAACAGGTGTCTGCGGAGCTCTAACAGTCTACTCCGTCATCTCTCTAACGCTATACAACCGTCGGCAGCGGGCTCTGTGGGTGGAGAAGGAAATGCAGAGACTGCAGGATGCGAAGACGGCGTATGCTGCCGGGACGGCCAACACGGAGCAATTGGAGCTGTTGAAGAATGAGAAGATCGGGGAGATCTTCCAGCAAAAGAAGGAGGAGGCTAAGGCGCAGCGGCCCTGGAATCAGGTCAAGAACTTCATCTTTGGTGGTTTGAAGCAGGATGAGAAGGCCGCTGCTGATAGCAGCAGCTCTATCCCCGATAGTGTCCTGGAGGGCGGCAACAAGTCCGCAGTGCTGGAGGCGCTGAACGCTAAGGCTGCGGAGGATGCGGCCAAGTCTGCTGCTCCTGCTGTTCCCAAGGGCCAGCTGGATGCGTTGGCTGAGAACGCCGAAGATGCTGCGAAGCAGTCGACGCGAAGCTGGACGAGCTGGTTTACTGGACGGTAAGGAGTCCAAGAAACAAGAAACCTTTGGTATATGGAAATGGATGTATGACATATAGAGCGGAGGGAGGTGGGTGTGGGTGTGTGTACGTGAGTGAGGATGGAAAACAAGGAATGTCTCAGAGATGACGCCTATCACATTTACTTATGCTGCTTTTCTGGTTTGCATGGCATCTTCTCCCTGTTTTTCCATAATCTGGGGTTGCGGCGTCTATGCGGGTTATATTTTATTTTTGTCTCATCTTTTTTTCTTTTCTTTCTAGCTGTATTCTTATCTTGCTGTTGTTTGCTTTCCTCAACCTGTGTATTACTGGGTTAGAGTTCTTGTCTTTACTCTTGTGTACATATACATATCTACTATTCTCTATCTCTGGTATCTCTCTCGTCTCTTGGTTAGAATAGTGCTGTCAATGGCTCAAGATCAACTTAATCAAGAGGGTTCGGTCAATCGAGCAAAGTTAAATCTACACGGGCAATCAGATCTTGTCATACTCATCGTTCTATTATTGATTCATCACTGTCTACCGTGGACAGAACCTAAGTGAACATGGACAGGCAAAAGAAATTACAAAAAGTGTAAAATGAAGCAGTCAAGACTTTTACTGGAACAAAGACCGAAAATGCTGCCCGCAACAGGCAGAGGCTGTCTGTCCAACACACCCATAACTCAGGAACTCGTGCCCGCAAAGTCAGATAATGAAACCAAAATGAGGTAAAATAAAGCACCCTGGCTATGGTATCTAGATCGGATTATTCGGAACAAAAGGAAAAGGGAATCACACTCGCTGGGGGTTTCGTAAACGCAGATCATCCATCCTCAATCGCTCAGTGGGTGCCATTAGTGGTCTTGGCCTGAGCGGCTTTGGCGGCGCGTCTGGCACGAACACCATCAGCGAGGTCCTCCAGGACCTGGACGGTGGTCTCCCAGTCAATGCAGGCGTCAGTGATGCTGACACCCTTGCGCAGGCCGGAGGGACCCTCGGGGGGAACCTTCTGGTTACCCTCGTTGATGTTGGACTCAATCATAACACCGATGATGGCATCCTGGCCCTCACGGAGCTGGTCAGAGACCTCCTTGGCGACCAGAGGCTGGTTGCGGTGGTTCTTGTTGGAGTTGCCGTGGGAGCAGTCGACCATGACGACCTCGGACTGCTTCTTGCCCGCCAGAGCCTCGCGGGCGGCCTTGATGCTCTCACGGTCGTAGTTGGTGCCCTTGTTGCCTCCACGGAGGATGACGAAGCCGTGCTCGTTACCAGCGGTCTTGGTGATAGCAGCCAGACCCTGCTTGGTGACACCCAGGAAGCGGTGGGGGTGAGCAGCGGCACCAATGGCATCAATGGCAACAGTGAGGTTGCCGTCGGTACCGTTCTTGAAGCCAATGGGGAAACTGAGACCGGAGGCGAGCTCACGGTGCAATTGCGACTCGGTGGTGCGGGCGCCAATAGCACCGAGAGAGATCAGATCGGCCAGGTACTGAGGGGAGATGGTATCCAGCATCTCACTGGCAATGGGCATGCCCATGCTGGTAAGATCAGAGTAGAGCTGACGAGAGACACGGAGACCCTTGTTGATGTTGTAGGACTCATCAATGTCGGGGTCGTTGATCAGACCCTTCCACCCCACCGTGGTGCGGGGCTTCTCAAGGTAGGCACGCATGATGACACAAAGGTCGGAGGAAAGCTTCTCGGAGAGCTCCTTCAGACGGCCGGCATATTCGAGGGCCGTGGCAGGGTCGTGAATCGAGCAGGGGCCGACAACAACCAGCAGACGGTCATCCTTCTTCTCGATAATCTTCATGGCCTGGTTACGGCCAGAGCGGACGGCCTCGAGGGATTCCTTTTTCTAATCATGTCTTCTGTTAGCCCCAATGGTCTGAACCGAGGCATTGACGACGAAAGTAACTCAGAATGTGGTCGGGTTAAGAACCCAACCAACATGACAGGAAAGACTTGAAAAAATTGGTAGGGAGAAAGCAAGGGGGGACGATGTGACTCACACCAGGGATCTCATTCTGGAGGTACTGAGGGGGAAGGAGGGGATCATATCCCAGGACTAAATGGATTGACAAATCAGTACAGGCTCATTGGCACTCAAAATGAGGTTTGTTTTACTAACCGCGAGTGTCCTCATTGACTTCTGTGGTGCTGATCAAAGGCATGGTGGGGGGGAATTGGCTGTGTGGAAGGGATTATTCTGTATGAGGGGAAAGGAAGAAAGAGGAAGAGTGATGGAAAAGGACAACAATACAGCCTTTATAAGGGGTCTAGAAGGGCCAGGAAGTGTGCAATGGAGATGAGTCAATGGGGAGAAGACAACCGAAGCGAAATCGGGGGTCAAAGAGAAAGCGAGCAAGGCACAAGCGAGAAAAGAAAAAAAAAGAGCAGGGAAATGGAGCAAATGAGAGAAGATGGAAATGGCATGAAGAGACAGAAAGTGTGGGCCGCGGGAGCGCGGACCAGCCGATGATTCACACACTTGCAAAACTTAAGGTTGGTTGGCTGCAACCTACCGGTGGCGGTATCAGTACCGTATTGTCTGTCCCATGTATGTCACCATCCATCGTCCCATCTCTCTCTTTCTATCAACTCTTCTCCTGCGACTCTATCTTCCCTCCCTCCATCACCACTTGAGGTAGACACTGCTTCAATTGACCCGCTTCTAGAGTTCAATAGTCCTCCCTCCCCCCCACCACCCATTCTTGATACATCCACGGGTCTCCTTCCCCTCCCATCATGGCCCAGAACCACTGCCCTCGAGTCTGATGTGATCAATGCATCAAGGCTCCGTGGTGTGTGATACTGCATGATTTGATCACACTCAGCTTATCCCCCCTTCTCGAACAATTATCCACCTCAAAGAGGTCATTCATGGTACGAATAAGGTTCCCGCTTTAGGTTGTGTCAATTCAACCCCCAACATCTTATCGAAAACGATAGCCTACCGTTCCAGATCGGTCACTCCATGACTTAATGCTATCTAGAGCACATCATGATTCGGATTACTCCGGTTTCCTGCTTTCAACGTGGATTCTTAAACCGCTGGATGCCATTGTTCCAAGGCCCTGTCCCAGATAGCTTACGTCAATCAGCTTGTGATTCAAGGGCTTAGACAACCAATGCTTGAGATGTTGCAGCCGAAAGAGAGAGCGATTGAAGTGAGCCATTGTAGCGTAGCTTCGTGTCGGGATTCTAGATTTTCGCCTGCATTTGATCACATAATCTGGATAGTTTAGTCTTCCTGATGCATGAGATCATCCGATAAACGATTGCGGTCCACGAGTACGAGGCCTGTGTGATAAGCTTCGTATCTCTCAAATCGTCTTGTTGCGTACTCCGTCCGGAGAATTGAACCACCTTAGGGGGGGTTATGGGATGGACGGCTATGCATGCAGGGTCATATGTACTCCATAGTAACACTGCCTATCGAGTGAGCCCGCTTCGTACGGGGTAAGGACCTCCACATCAGCGGGACTTTGTCGAAACTGCTGGGCAGTTCGATCACTGTCAGCCAAGCAGCATGTAAGCAATGCGCGTAGCCATGCATGCGGCTTATTTTGTCTTCAGCTGAGCCTCGCATATTATCTGATTTAATTGGATACGCCCAGTCACACAGTACTAGGATGGCGGGACATGCTGTATGTCGCTCAATTAACTTTCCACAAGCACCATTCCTGCGAGACTGCCCGGCCCCTAGCTGAGTATAGTGTTAGGCTTGACGACCCAATGGGGCAAACTTGGTGCGAGTATCCCCACGAAGGGGAAGTTGGGAGGCCAGTAACTTGCCCACGTTGTATGGTAACAAGCCCCTGTATGTACCCCATGTTGAGCTAGACGTAAAACAGAGTGGCCCTGGGCGGCAGTTCCCGTGTGGACCTGGGGAATTGACCGTTAGACCGTAGATCTACTCGATCTAATCAATTTGCATTCTGAATCCCTCCACTGGAGAACCATTACCACGGCTTGAGGGGAAGGGCTCCGATCTCAGTGGACTCTGACTGGACCTATGGTCGAGCTTGCAAAGGAAAACGGCGAGTCAGACAGATCCTGTGGGTCTTCAGGGATGCTTCAGCTAGATTTTAAGAACTCAGAATGACCAAGAAGTGTTGGTAGCCAGTCGAAAATTCGTGTTGGGGGGGTGTTGAGGCATCCTGAGCCGGAATAGCGTTTTAGACCGGCTCGCGTGTAATCGCTTTGCCGCCCACTCACCGAGTCGAGGGAAGAACGCTTCCCCATCACGGCCGACCCCCAGCCCCTTCATCCCCACAGAATTGCCCTTACTGGGTTTCCCTGCATGCAGCCTGCTGTCGGTGCCTGAAAAACCAGAATACACACTAAGATAATTAAGGTGCTTTCCGTGGCCCACTGTGTCCAAAACTGCTGCTACGGAAAATCAGCTAAGATGCTCGTATTGAAACCTGTATCTGGTATGGTCCCAGCACTTACCACTCTCAAGCATTGTGCTGTTCATCTCAACCGACGCTCATAAATCTCGCTCCACACCTTGACTGACCGCAACTCCACATACGAGATTAAAAAGAGAAATAAAGGAAATCACAAGTGTGTCAAGGAAATCGGTCCGATACATGGCGCACAAAGACCCAAGGCATGCATTTTCTAATTTATCATTCACATCTTTCAAGGCAAAACCTCCTCTCCTTTCCAATCCCAACAGCGGCCCCGCCCATCGGAGTCACCGGTCTGCATACCACATAGATGCTGTAATAGCTTCACCGCAGATTCTTCTGGCTGCAACATGTGCCTGCCGTCCCAGTAATCTTTCGTGAAATCAGTCTGGACTGTCCCGGGATGCAACGCCACCGCAAAAGCTCGGTCTCTGCTCCGTGACCGCAAATACAGATCGAAAGTCTTGGTCAGCTGAAAGACGGAGGCTTTGCTAGCACGGTATGAATACCAGCCCCCTGTTGCATTATCCGATATGGACCCAACTCGTGCGGCCATCATCGCGTAGATCGCATGCGATGGAAGTTTCCACGGCCGCTGTACATGTGCCGACAAAGATTCGTCCGCAAAGGTTGCAGACGACTTCGTTGGCAAGAAGGGTGCCAAGTGCTTCATTAGAAGCATAGGACCAAGAGCATTGACTTGGAAGCTGTGTAGAGCATTGGCAGCATCAATCTGCGTCGGCGACTTCTCCACATGCAGAACGCCAGGTACGGTGATTGCAATACGCAGGGGAGTCTGTGGAAAGTCTTCTCGTATCTGTGCAGCCATGGCGTGTATGGTTGCCTCATCTAAGACATTGTTCAGGACCAGAACGCATGAGGGGATGATGTACTCAGTACCAGTCACGTCAACTTCAAAGACTCTTAGCCTCTCCTCCGCCTTTCCAGTCTCATCATTGACTTGCTCCAGTAAGATTTTACGGAGTTGTCCGGTGTCTCTCCGCGCAGTCGCAATAACGGGGAGGTCCGTGTTGGACAGCAGCTGTCGCGCAAAGGCGAATCCTAGTCCTTTCGAAGCCGGAGTCACGAGGGCGAACCCACTTTTTGCAGGTGACATTTGAATGGCACGAATTTGATTGCATATATTAGGAACTGAGCTACCAAAACCAGAGAGACTGAGTCCACATGGAGGATTATTCTGAAGGTCGAAGGTTAAAGCCTAGATTTCCGTGACGTCATGCACATGGCTGCTACTTTATACAAAGTACAAAGTATGAATTTTCAATTTGATGGCTGTCCGATGGCTGGAAAAACAGGTGCCTTCGGTGGATATACATCTGTTCGCAAAGTAAAACACCATTGTTTGTCCGAGAGTAAGCTGGCGAGGGTTGTTGGTCGCAGACAGCATCAACCTACCCATGCATCTCTAGACGGACTACTAAGCCTACGGAGTTTAGAATCGTCTTGCTTTATTAGCCAATGATTGCACAAGAAGGCTTCTGAAAAAAGCTATTGGACTGGTGTATTTACTATTTGTAATAGGATAATACATCTGTGAAAATGTCAACAAATACATACTTGGTACTCTACGAGTAATTGTCTTCCCCATCACCGACGAGAGAAAGTTGTAACTAGAAAGAATGTACTCTCAAGGTACCTGATACATCCGCGGCGGTATTGATCAGTAGTAATCGGACTGAATCCGTAACATGTGACGGTACCAACCGTACGGCGCTAAACCCCGGCTGGACATTGAGCGATAAGTCCCGGTCTTTGCTGCGATGATCCATCCACGTTCCAGCTCGGGCTTCTTTGATTCTTCAACTACTTACTAGTGTGACTCCATGCATGCTTTGGACCAGTTATTCAGCGTGCTGCATAGCCATGGCCTGTCATCTTATTAATTACTAGCCTCCTTTTCTATATTACTTGCTTCCTCATTGGAGCCCCTATTCCCATACGCGTGTTGCTTTCCACATTCCTACGGAGTAGATTCATCAGACTCAATGTGACCTTGACCCTGGCTCGAATCACACTCACCGCAATACTCTGCTTAACCAACTCCACATTTTGGTCTCCACTGCCCTCTTTGTACGGCCTGGCGCCTAAAGCGCCATGTATGCATTTTCCACCAAGCGCCAGAGAGACCAGGACCCAGAGGACTTCGATGGAAATGTGTTCCGCGAGACAAAGGTCCGTGGATTTGAGACTGAAGGACCCCTGCTATTCTCGTCCCGCAACTAATGGTAGTCAACAGAAACACAGGTCTCTTCCTCTCCGCGCGTCCCCAAGTGCCCTCCAGTTTTCTTCCCTCCCACAAAGCAACCGGCTTGCATCTGGCTTCGGTTTCTCGACTCTGACCCCAGTGGAATCCTCAGACGATGACAAGGAGGATAATGGTGCTGAAAAATTTGCCCATCATGGTTCGACACAACCTCGGGATCAGCCATTACCATCAGAGCAAGGGTGTATTCCTATAATGAGTGCAAGCATGGATATTGATAACGGAAAAGACGCCCAATGTTCGACCAATAATGTTGAACATTCCAACCCGGGATCTGTCGCTGGATTTAGCAATTACAGTCTCCAGCCGTCGCCGATCCCACATAGTCTTGTTGACCAGTCGTTGGTTATAAGCGAAGAGCCGACTACAAACTCTACGGAAGGGAACACACCTGCCCCAAGAAGTCCCGTCTTAAGAGACATGGTGCAAAACTCTACATCATATACGTCGCAGGGCGTCTCTAGAGGTCCGTACGCGAGTCATGACAGGGTCTGGTGGTGCGGCCAACGCCTCCCCAGTCCGGTCAGTGACAATGGCGACGCCATGGCGATCAGCAGCAAAGACTCTGTGAGCGACGCTGATATGACATACATGTCCCAGCCAGCGTCTCCGCCACCATGGTATTCAGAAACTACGCCAGATGTGTTACAGCCGGCGGGTTCGATGGGCAGCTTGAAACGGGAGCAACATATTCCCTCTTCCTCGAAGAAGAAGGCAGCGATTTCCATGGGCTACCGAGCGGATTGCGACAAATGTCGGCGCAGGGTCCCAGGTCATTACAGTCACATCATCCGTCACTGACACACTTATTCCTTTCTGTTCCTTTGCTGTTTTCTTTATTTGTTCTGCTTGATTTTTATCACTTGACGAGTTCATGATACCAGGCGCTATGGAAGGAATGCACAGGGAAAGGCGGCTGGGCTGTTTTTACTATGATACCAACGGTTTTCGGGATTGTGGGGCTTTATTGGCATGACTTGCATTGTAGATGCGACCAGTTGGGACGGAGGACTGGTTCGAATGTATCGGAAGAATCAAAGCTTATCCTTCGATAATGCATATTGTTGTCTTTTCTCGGCCTTGGGGAGCATTTGACGGCGAATATCTCCCTCAATAATGGAGTTCGGGCTATGAATCAGGGCCTGCTGTCAACTAGTGACTAGTTCATTAGTTGATGGTGTTTTCCGAGCTGCCCTTCCGATCTGGCTGACATAAGCGTCCGCATCCGATGGCGGAAGAGCAGGTGACTGGCACCGGATGTCTTTGTCGGACGTCAATCCGACAGAGATAGAGAGAGAGAGAGCTACACTTATATTGGACACTGGAGATTATTTGATAGTCGACAGGATGTAGTGATCTTCGAAGGTTGACATTGTAAGATTGTTCTCCGGACACACATCCCCAATCAGAATCTCAAGCAGAAGACGGGGAAACCCCCAGACCGGGACTGCCGACGACTCCACAATTTCCCAATTTTGCCTTCGTCCAGAGTCCTCCGCGGCAGTGCGCTTAGCCGATCTTCATTGCCGGTAGTTCGAAGCCAGCGTGCAACTGGCTCAGTCCGTACGCGAGCCATCCCGAGCCCCGGAATCCCTTCGGGTGGCTATATTCTGATATAAGTATGTTGCCGGGCCCCGGTTTTCAACCGGGGCGAAGCGAAAGTCGAGATCCTCTCCTTCCATTCCTCCCTGTGTCTCTTGCTTGATTCAGCAGTCGCAATATCCGTCATCATGGCCTCTCCAATTCCTCGAGGCCTGCGCCAGGTCCTCCAGAAGTCTCCCTCGGACATTGTCATTCTTTCTTCCCTCCGTACCCCGGTTACTCGTGCGAAGAAGGGCGGTTTCAAGGACGCCTATCCCGAAGAGCTGCTCGCTCACGTCCTCCGGGCCACTTTGGAGGCGAACCCGAACCTCGACCCTGCTCTCATCGACGATGTCGCCATCGGTTCCGTTCTCCAGGAACTCGGTGGTGCGAAGGCTGGCCGTATGGCTCAGATCCACGCCGGCTTCCCCCACAGCGTGCCTTTCCACACGATCAACAGACAGTGCTCCTCCGGTCTGGCTGCTATCTCCACAATTGGAAACGGAATCCGCTCTGGAGCGATTAACGTCGGTGTCGGTGGTGGAATGGAGTCCATGACTAGAAACTATGGCTCCCGCGCCATCCCCACCGTTCTCTGGCCCGAGCTGAAGGAGTCTCACTCCCAGGACTCCCGCGACTGCATCATGCCCATGGGTATCACCTCCGAGAACGTCGCTTCGCGCTACGGCATCTCCCGTGCCGACCAGGATGCGTTCGCTGCCGAGTCCCACAAGAAGGCTACTGCCGCCCAGAACGCTGGTCTGTTCGACAAGGAAATCATCCCCGTCAAGACCCTCTCCTATGACCCCGAGAACCCCGATGCTCCTCCCAAGGAGATCACCGTCACCAAGGATGACGGTATCCGCCCCAACATCTCGGTTGAGAAGATGGCTAGCCTGAAGCCCGCTTTCTCTCCCACCGGTGCTAGTACCGCTGGAAACAGCTCCCAGGTCAGCGACGGTGCCGCTGCCGCTCTGCTCATGCGCCGTTCGACCGCCACCGAGCTCGGCCTGACCTCTCAGATCCAGGGCCGCTGGGTTGGTACTGCCGTTGCGGGCTGTGCTCCCGACGAGATGGGTGTCGGTCCCGCGGTTGCTATCCCCAAGCTCCTTCAGCAGCTTGACATGACCGTCTCGGATGTCAACGTCTGGGAAATCAACGAGGCTTTCGCCTCCCAGGCCTTGTACTCTATCCGCAAGCTGGGTATTGATGAGGCCAAGGTCAACCCCAAGGGTGGTGCCATCGCTATCGGTCACCCTCTTGGTGCCACCGGTGCCAGACAGCTTGCCACTCTGCTTCCTGAGATGGAGCGCACCGGCCAGGAAGTCGGTGTTGTGAGCATGTGCATTGGCACTGGTATGGGCATGGCTGGTATGTTCGTCCGGGAGTAAAGGATGAGCAAAACCAAAAAGCAGAAACAAAATTTGGGGCGTTTCCTTCTTGTACAGGTTATAGCGACTTTAGTTATTATGATATCAGCGTAGAGACGCATGTAAATACATACACGCACAAATACTATTTATACCCTGTATGAAGACCTATATTTCCATAACGATGTTCAACAAATTATCTGCATAAACAAACTATTGCTAGTTTTGATGACTTCTTGTGGGATAAGTATAGATTCAGCGATGCAAATTGACATGCTGATGCGAATCCTACGAAGGGATGACAGACATGCTCAAGGGATATGGATGTAGGAACAAAGTAGACCCGAGAAGCCCCTTCCTCCTCAACAGTGTTCTGTATGACTCGAAAATATCCAATCCTATAGTTCCCGTGTAAAAGTATAATACTAAATAACTCCCGACCGCCAAGCCCCATCCATCCCATGCACGCTCCCTCACGTGATCTCCCCGGCCGGAACCTCACCACCGCGAAACTTTTCGAACCCCCATCACCTCCGTCCGGGCACCCGCCAGCAAAACCCGCAACCCACCCCAATTGCACAGCACCATGCGACCGTCCGTGCGATTGCTGAGCCTCGACGTCCAGGGCGCCTCGCGGACCCTGTACGTCTGCTCAGTATGCAGAAACGAGGCGCGGCCGCGGCCAATTGTCGCCCGGCAATTCCTTCGCCATGCTTCCAACACACCGCTGAGTGAGCGAGTGAGACGCAGACTTTGGGGTACGGATAACCCGCCGGGATTGAAGGATCCGTACGGAGAGAGTTTGCTTGAGAAGAGGTTCGGGAAGGCTAAGGCTCAGCCGGAGGGCGAGACGGAGGTGGTGAATGCGGCGGAGGCGGCACCTGAGGCTGAGGCTATTGATCAGTTGGAGCCTGGGGTTGACTATGAGCCTGCGACGACGTGGGAGGGATTGGAGCGTGTGGGACATTTGGGAGGTTGGAAGAATGTTCCTCGGGCTGAGGCTGATCGGGTTGGGACGTAAGTTGTTCTTCTTCCGCATGGTTTTGATTTACCGGGGGTTGGGAGTTGTTTTGGCTAATTGGTTTGTTTGTTTGATGGATAGGTTCGGACTCAAGAAGAAACTCCGCAAACAGGGTCCCCTGTCTCTTGCTGCGCATCAGGCCGCTGTAGAAATCTGTCTGATGCATGCGCTGAACAAGCCGTTGACGAGCGTCTGCAACGTCACCGAACATGACAAGGCCGTCTTCAAGATGATCTGGAAGACTAAGATCGTGCCTAACGAGGCTGGCAGCTGGGGCAGCGCACTGGAGTACCACAACAAGCAGGCTAAGGAGGCCCTCGTTTACATCTTCGAGCAGATCGGTGGTAGTCAGCCTGAGGCTGTGGAGCAGCAGCAGGCTGCTGAGGAGACCGCCGAGGTCGAGGAGTTCGAGGAGGCCGCTTGGGAGGGTGAGGAAGAGGAGACGTCTAAGGTTCCTTTCTTCGGATACCAGGATGCTCGTGATAAGGGATTCCTGACTTTGTCTTTGGAGGATCAGGAGACGAAGTTTGCTGTTCGTTTTCCCTCTACTATTTTCTTTGCTGTGCAGACAGTCGCTGACATTCCTTTTTTGAATAGTTCCTCAAGAGATTCTCGCAGCTGAGCGGCCACTTCTTCCCGGACAACATCGTCCACCAGATCACCACCGTCAAACAGGCCATCGACTACGTCCAGGGTCAATTGAACCCCAAGCCCAAGAAGCTGGCTGAAATTCTGGAGCACAATGACCGGCTCCAGTCCCTGCCCAACATCAAGGTCTTCTCGAAGAGACAGACCCGCTTGCACCGCGATGACGAGATGGGCCGGAGGAAGATCATTGAAGCCGAGCTTCGTTCCAGAGGACTCCTTGCATAGACTGATTGCATGGCATACATATCTTGCAGGTTTGTTTGGTTGGCTGGCTGGCTCAAAGATTATCTATCTCTAGTTCTTGTAGCATGTTATATCTAGTACGAAATTTTGCTGTACAATAGGAATTGACGTCTTTTTTTATTCATTTGGCACTGATATAGATCGCAGCGAGATCTATCATGAATGGCTAGCATTTTAGTGTATCTCAAGCGTAATATGATATAGTGAAATAGAAAAGACCGGTTCCGTAGCCGGGCCTGAACCCCCATACGCCTGATGAAACAACATCCAGATATTTGTATAGAAAATGCAAAAGCACAACCACGTTCAACAACTACTTCCTAGCCGCCGCAGGAAGACTAAATCCTCTCGTCATAAAGTCCGTATTCTTGGCATGGGCATCCTTAGACTCCTTCGTGAAGAGACTGCTGATGTTGTCACTAGTCCCCAGCATCTTCCGCCGCTTTTTCTTCTCGTTTTCTTCCTCCAGCACCCGCTGCGTCAGCAACGCAGTAGCGGCATTCTTGATACCACTCGAGCCGCCTGGCGTGGGTGTAGATGTGTTGCTCCGACTGGCAGTGGCACTTGAAGATTTCTCTGCGGGCTTTGATTCCTTGCCCGCATCCGTCGCATCACCATTCGCGGCGTTCTTCTTGCGCTTCTTTGAGCCGGGGGCTTTCTTCAGCGAGTGCGTGAGACCTTGCTCGGCGAGCTTGTGTCCACGCTCAATGAGCTGCTGCTTGTCGGCCTCTTTGGTCGGGAGGATGGGGATCACGTTGTCGGCGGTGTATGGCTCATCGCACTGGAAGTCATTAGCCCGATCCCACCAACACGCATATAGAAACCCAGAAATGTACAGGACTGGATAACATACCTGCAAGCACTTATCCCCCTTGAGTTGGCGAATCGCCTCCTCCGAGAAAACATGACCGCACGGCACCAAATAAACCGACTTGACATTCGGACCCAACTGCTTCGCCGTGACGGGACAGATCCACCCTTCACGCTTGTCCTGCTTTCCAGAGGCGGGATGGGCTTCGCGCTCTGTGTCGACTTCGAACTTCAGCTCCACGACGTCCCGGAGTCCCTTTACCCGTCCGCAGAGGATCTCTTCGCAATCGGCCTTGGAGCTGATCCCGTCGGTTTCATCGCCGGGGAGAAGGAATCTGAGAATGGCGTCTTTGTTGTAGAGATTTCCGACGCTGTCAGAGACGATTGGTCGCATTAATTGGTTGTGCGATATCGGACACGTCGTCCAGGAGTGTTCTTGTTGTTCGCGCTGCGCTTCTTTTACTTGCGCTGTGCTGGGGTTGCGGGCCGCTTCGCGGACGAGCTCGCGACGGGTTGGGATACTGGTGGTGCGGGTGGTTAGTTTTGGGCTCTTTGGTAGACTGGGAGGGTGTGCAAGAGTTTTTTTTGAGCATACCTGCCACCATCATTACCCATGTTGCCGCTGATATGTGCTATGGTAAGTAGTTGTGAATGAGAAATCAATGCGACGACTTGTTGCGGGCTCGCCACTCATTTACAGAAACAGCGGCAGGCCCGATAAGGAGCTGAGTCAGCGAGCCCCAGAATGGGCGGGAGATTATCACCAGCTGGCCAGAAGCTCTCTCCGCATTCCTGGTGATGGATTGATTTGATTTATTGATTGATTGCTTTTTGTCTTGTTCTCGCTAGTTTGTCCTCTAGTGCCCCTACAGAGCATTGGTCAGGGAGCTCAATGCTGCCACTGCCACCATGATACTTCCTCAGGGATCGCTCTTCTTGGTGAGCATTGCTGCTTGCTCGACCGTCGTGGCTGCGGCGGGTGATGCCTTCTCTCGTCCCCGGGGTGTTAGTCCCGAATGTAAGTGCCACTTATATATCTAGGCTGGGGTCGTGCCACGCACACCCATTATACCTCAGGCTGCATCCCCGTCATTCAATCATGATCTTTTGCATTGCTCGTGCTAATTGGTTTCGTCTTTGACAGTCGCCAAGTTCTACAAAGACACCACCACCTTCACGTGCATTTCCCACCCAGCCATCCAAATTCCCTTCTCCGCCGTGAACGATGATTACTGTGACTGCCCGGATGGAAGTGATGAGCCTGGCACATCTGCCTGTGCATTCCTGTCCCGCAACTCCGCCCTAACACCGGGTGAGCGTCCCGGCAGCGACGATCTCGAGCTGGCATCCGCCCTGCCGGGATTCTACTGCAAGAACAAGGGCCACAAGCCCGGCTACGTCCCTTTCCAGCGGGTCAATGACGGCATCTGCGACTACGAGCTCTGTTGCGACGGCAGTGACGAGTGGGCCCGCGTTGGCGGCACCAAGTGTGAAGACAAGTGCAAGGAGATCGGTAAGGAATGGCGGAAGAAGGAGGAGAAGAGACAGAAGTCCATGACTGCGGCTTTGAAGAAGAAGAAGGAGCTGCTTGTGGAGGCTGGTAGACAGCAGAAGGAGGTCGAGGACAGTATCAAGCGTCTGGAAGTGGAGATTCAGGCCCAGGAGCTGAAGGTCAATGATCTTCAGGCGGAGCTGGAGGAAGTGGAGAAGCAGGAAGCGAGCAAGGTTGTGAAGGGCAAGGCGGCGGGCAAGGTCAATGTGCTTGCTGGGTTGGCTAAGAGCCGGGTCGAGGAGCTCCGGAATGCCCTGGTGGACGTTCGCAAGGAGCGTGACGATACCCGTGCCCGTGTCAAGGAGCTTGAAGAAATCTTGTCTAAGTTCAAGGTGGAATACAACCCCAACTTCAACGACGAGGGTGTTAAGCGCGCTGTGCGCAGCTGGGAAGACTACGCCGCCAAGGGCACTCTTGAGGGCGCTGTGAACAACGCTCAGGACCGCGATTTGGATGAAATTGCTAAGCCCGATGATGAGAAGGCGGGCATCAACTGGGAGCAGTGGGAGAACGAAGAGGATGGGTGTGAGGCTGGTCTTGGTATGTGATCTATTCTAATTGGGGTCATCGAGTTCCCGCGCTAACATCAGATGTAGTCTACCAGCTGGCAGCCTACCTTCCGCCTTCCCTGGTTGAGTTCATTGAAGGCAAGGTGCTCTTCGTCAGAGGCCTCTTGGAAGATAACGGAATCCTACCCAAGGCGGCCGAGACGTCTACGTCTGAGTCCAAGGTTGTGTCGGAAGCACG